CCATACTCCATCTCACACTTCTGAAAACCTTGTTTCTTGAAAAATGAACCAATCTTCAAATTTCAAGTTCTGGGCGCTTGCTTCAATCCATACAGAGCTTTATGTAATTTGTACACCATTCCTTCCTTATTATTTTTTATAAATCTAGGAGGTTGTGATACGTATAACTCTTCTTGTAATGGACTGTTCAGAAATTCATACTTCACATCCAGATGCATCAGATGCCAATTTATACTTGCATCTAAAGCAATCATCGGTCTGATTATTTCATGTCTAGCTATAGGCGCAAACACCTCAAAGTAATCTAGCCCAGGTTTCTGAAGAAAACCTCTAGCCACTAGCCTTGCTTTGTGCTTGTCAATTGATCCATCTGGCTTAAGCTTCACCTTGAAAACCCATCTGATACCGATGACTTTCTTTTTATCTAGAAGCTTAGTCATCTTCTAAGTCTTGTTTATTTCTATAGCCTTAAGTTCTTCTTTCATGGCATTTAGCCATACTTTCTTCTTAAGAGCTTCTTCAATATTTACAGGTTCACAGTCTACTAACATGACACACTGAACAATTTCTCCTTCTGAATCTACTTTAGTATCTTGCAACATGTCAAACTCTGTAAACCTTCATGATATTTGTCTAATTCTTTGTGGCCTCTAAACTTGTTGAAAACCCCTTTCCAATTTTGGAACAGTATCAGATACTTGAACACCATCAAAAGTTCCACGTTCTGAATAGCCTTCAGAACCTTTATCTTTTGAAGTTCCACCTTCACAATCATGACCTTCACCAGAAACATGATCATCTTCAGAAGCTTGTCCTCTAGAAAGTACGTCTTCAGAGTTTTCCCTTCCAAAAGTATGACCACCAACCGATTTTGAATCATCATCAAAATCTAGATCAGAATCAGATTCATCATCTGACTCATCTTCAGAGTTTCCAGAATCATCATTTGACTTTGACTCTTGTTCAGAACTATTAAGTTCTGACTTATCTTCAAAAATAGATTGAGAATTGCTCCAATCCCATACTTCTGATTCTTTTACAATGACGTATCTGTTGACTTCAAATTTATTCGTTTATGGACAATAAAGCTTGTATGCACCTGTATTGTGGTATCCCGCCAGAATCATTACTTTGCTTCTATCATCCAACTTCTTTCTTCTAGCTTTGGGAACGTATTTGTAACATACAGAACCAAACACTTTCAGATGACTAACACTTTACCTGTCTCCCGTCCACTTTTCTAAAGGAACAATTTTCTTCATCTTCTTCGTTGGACACATGTTGAGCATATACAGTGAGGTGGCTACAACTTCTCCCCAGAAATTATGAGGTAGCTTCTTCTCTTTCAGCATGCTTCTGGTCATATCAAGAAAGGTACAATTTCTTCTTTAAGCAAAACCATTGTGTTGAGGAGTATAAGGAGCAGTAACCTCATGCTCAATTCTATTTTCATCACAGAACTTCTGGAATTTTGTAGAGTTATACTCACCTCTACCATCCATTTTGAGAATCTTCAGCTTTTGACCACTTTATTTCTCAACCTTCACCTTGAACTTCTGAAACTCGATAAACACCTCATGTTTAAACTTTATGAGTGTTACCCACGTAATTCTTGTGAACTCATCCATAAAGGACATAAAACATCTATTTGCTCCAAGTGAAGGTTCTGGATATGGTCCACACACGTCAGAATGCATTACTCCCAAAGCATATTTTGCTCTTGGGGCTACTTCTGACACAAATGGCGATCTGCGTTGCTTGTCTTTCATGCATATCTCACATGACTTCTCATGCTTCACAATCTTCGGAATGCCACACACAAGATTCTTGGAACTCAGATGCCCTAGGATTTTGTAGTTCAGATGCCTTAATCTCTTGTGCCACATCTTACTATCAGCTTCAACGTCTTCTAAACTAAGACATTTTTCTTCTGTTGTCTCCACATTCACCTTGAATGTCCTGTTGCTTCCTTGTTCTGATTGCATAATTAGCTTCTGATTAGTATCATACAACTTCAAGAGACTGCCCTTTATAATAACTGAGAAACTATTCTCAGTGAGCTGACCCACACTCATCGGATTGCTCTTAATTCCAGGAACATACTAAACATCATTGATCAGAACGGTCTTCCCATTCTTCACTTTAACTTTGACATTTCCCATACCTTCTGCATTAAGGTACTTATCATCAGCGCATATGATTTTTGTCCTCCTTTTGGAGTCAAAGTCCACCAGCCATTGTTTGTTTCTAGTCAAGTGATTTGAACAACCAGTGTCCATATACTACCAACCTGCCAAACACTTTCCATCAGACTCAAAAGCCATCAATAGCACAAGTTCATCATCAGAATCTCCTCTGGCTATATTTGTTTCTTCTGATCTCTTTCCCTTATTTGACCAACAATCTTTAGCAAAATGACCAAACTGCTTACAACAATAACATTAAACCTTCTTCTTCTTAAACTTCTCCTTACCCTTCCGAGGTTTCTTCTCATCAGAAGTAGAAGTTTTTGACTTCTGGAATCTATCACCACGTCTATTCTTGGTTTCTGACCAAGAACGCTTCTGGTCCTTCTTGACAAAAGAAGCTTTCAGAGTCTGCTCAACTTTTCTCTCAGAAGTTCTTTTAGTCAGACACAACTCTTGCGGCTCTAGACTGCTTTGCAGCTCTTCTATGCTCATGATGTCCAGATGAATGTTCAATTGCTACAACAATATAATCAAATTGAGGAATAAGTGTCCTCAATATCTTTTAAATGATTACTTGTTCAGAAAGAGTTTCTCCACAAGCCTTCATTTTATTAGTGATCAGAATCACTCTAGAGATGTACTCAGAAACCTTTTCATTGTTCTTCATATTGAGATTCTCATATTGCTTTCGCAGGGACTGAAACTTTACCTTCTTCACTGATGCGTCACCACCATAGAATCTGACCAGTGTGTCCCCTGCCTCCTTCGTTGTCGTCGAATTAACAATCTTCTCAAACACATTCACATTCACACACTGATGGATGTAGAACAACGCCTTCTGATCTTTCTTTCTTTTGTCTCTCTGTTCATTTCTCTCTTCTTCCGTTGCATCTACTACAACCGGAACATAGCCATTGGTAACAAGCTCAAGCACATCTTGAGCACCAAATAACACGTGTATCTGAATCATCCATCTGTTCCAGTTCTTTCCATAAAAAATAGGAAGTTTGGTATTCAGACTACTGTTTCCGTTCATCCTTAACCTTGTACAACTCACTCAGATCTCACAAGCACAGTGTTTCTCAACCCCACAGAAACAGAAAAAAATGTGATTCTGTTCAGATTTTGTTCAAGATTCAACACGAACCCAGAACCAAAACCAATCACACAAACGCCTCACGTTTCACTAGTATTTCTCTGTGAATTAGAACCAGAACTATAGATGCTAATTTGTTAGTGCACAAGAATCAATGATGAACAAATAATAAATTTAAGAGAGCAAAGAGAATAACGACCGTAAAAGCTGCAAGAGGAATAAATATTATTATTTTTATGACATTTATAACTAGTCTATTTATACACAAAAAAAATAAATTTAATAACTAAATTATCTAAAACAATTAAAAATATTAAAATACCTTTTAATAAAATTTACTTTATTCTCATATTTAAAATGTATCATCAATATTCAAATATTTCTTTTCAGAAAAATAAAAAATATAGTATCTAAGACATAGGCTTTCTCATATTTAAAATCTATCATCAATATTCAGATGAATTACTTTTTAGGAAAATAAAATAAAGTATCTGAGACATAGGCTAGAAAACCAAAACAGCATAATATAGTTATATAGACGTGATTCTCCTATTGCAATTGATACAATTTAAATATTATTAAGATGAGAAAAAAGATATGGACATATTCACGCTATATATTCTATTAAGTCATTCTATTTTTTAAAAGTTACTTCTATGAGATAGTTGATTAATGAATTTCTATTAGATGATATGTAAAACTATTTTATATCATTAGTGTATTATTTTTATTTTTTATTAAAATATATAAATGATTTAAATTATACTTTAAAAATATGTTATTTAATTTAGATAAAAATTCAATTTTAAACAAATGTATACAAAAATAATAAAAAAAGAAATTCCTATCTAATGCATATATGTTTTAAAAAAGATGCTAGTAACATAGGAAAGAAAGACAAGTGTAACAAAATAACATATAAAATAATTATTTTTTAAAATTTATTATTGAATTTAATTGGTATGCATCAATCATATAAAACAGTTTTACATGAATTGTGATTGTTAAATATTTAATAAGATTTAACTTTTATTTTAATTATTTATAAAGTAATATTTATTATTTGTATTACATTTCAAATGTGCTATTTAAAATATACTGCATCATATGTATATATATTTTTAAATAATTAAAAATTAAAACATTATTTGTATTTTTTTTGTCATAAAAAAACATTATTTGTATTTTTTGTCAAAAAAAAAAAACATTATTTGTATTTGTTTGCAATTGATTGAAATTGAAAAACAAAATTTGAATAAAATAAACATGACAAGATAAAAAATGAAACAATGTCACATGTGTATGATTTATTTATTTAGAGTTAAATTGAAAGGATGTTAAGAAATGATAGTTTTAGTAAAATTTGGTGTTATTCAATAATCTTGGAGAAAAAAAAGATGCTCACCCTTAATAAGAAAAGGCGTAATAAAATAATTTTTGTTTTGAAACTATTATTCGCTCTCTTTTCTATTTCGGCTCTCTTTTTTTTTTTTGGTTTTGAAACAATTTTCTAGCTTATTTCTATTTTGCTTCTTCATAATTCCCTCTACATTCCTCTGGAAATATTTTCCTAGAGTGGCATCTTGCGTCTAATAATCTGCATCCATCGGAGCTTTTTGTTTTGTGTATCTTTATGGCATGGACATCCTTCTGCATTCCCTTTTTAAACCACATGACACTCTCTCATTTTCACATCAAAGCTTTCAGAGAAAATTATGGCTTCTTCAAGCTCCGACTCGGCACATGCAACAAGTAACACCAAATGTAATTTCTCTATTGTGAATATCTTCTTGTATTGGTAGTTAGAGTTTTCATCCCAAACTATACGTTTTAGAGTTTGATACAATCAACATGTATGTATGTATGTATTTCTTTTTTTCTCCTTTTTAGCTGAGATCACTGTGATCGAAATGATTTCGGAAATGGATTCTTCAAGTGCAAACTTCCTTTTTAGCTTAATTCAGGTTCTTTTGTGAAACTTGTCTAATGTGATCTTTTTCTCCTTTGTAGCTTCAATCACTGACATCCAAAAACGCCGCAAAATGCCTTCTACAAGCACAGCAGTTCCTGGATCCTCTCACTCCACAGCTACAACAAGAAACACCATGTGTATTGTCTTTTTAGTTTTTCCTTTAATGTTGAATTCATGGATTTATTTAGAGTTATTACCTGTAACTTTTTTACTTGTTTTCGATATTTCCTGTAGACTACAAATTTATGCAGCAACAACTTCCTTCACAGAGGCCTATTCTTACGCCTCGAGTGGTATATATTTTTAATTCTTGTTATTTATGTAGTGGTATAACTGAATGAATTTAACTTGGAGTGTCTCCTTGCAGATTATTTCAGGATATTTGCTTATTAGCATTGTGTTCATTTCTATTGGAATTGCTTCACTGATCGCTTCCAGAGAGGTAAGCTTGTGTGCTATAACTGAATGAATTTATGGTTATATATTTAATGCTAACTATTATTACTTTAATTTTCTCGTGTCTATCAGGTTGTTGAAATTGTGTATGGATATGAGTCGAGATGCTTACCAAGTAATATTACAGACAAGGTAGCTTACATCCAGAATCCTACAACGGATAAAACGTGCAACATAACACTGAATGTAAGTCTACTGTGTAGTTTAGCTCTGTCTCATAATTGATATTCAATAAGGCTCACTCTGCTGAAATCTTATGATCTTTTCTTTAACCATGTTGTTATGAAAAGGTGCCCAAGCACATGAAGGCACCTATTTTTGTTTACTATCAGTTGGACAACTTTTACCAGAATCATCCCCGGTATGCAATAACCTGTTTTTCAACTTTTATTTTCAACAGTACTTTGATTTTTAGTTATTTTTATGGCCATAGACTTAACTGCCTTTGCATGGAATTATGGAATTAAACGAGCATTTAACTAGTGTCAATGTGCTGAGTGATGTATGATATAAACATAGTATTGGTTAGTCACAAGTGTGAAAAGTGAAATTGGATAGCAACTAATCTAATTAGCATCCAAACCTGTTAATAATACTACACTGTATGTGTTGTGTATGCATGGGGATTGAGAAGAAGAAGGAGTGTTTGCACCTCTTAGCCTATTTTCATCTTCTATTTACTGTACTTTATAACTTCAATGTATTTGACTGATTACTTTTACCCTTTATATATTTGTAATCATTGATCCATTATGCATGGTTTTTTACAATAATTTATTTTCTATAATTTAGGTATGTTAAAAGCCGAAGTGATGATCAATTGAGGAATCTTAAGGACGAGAAGTCAGTTAGTACTTGTAAGCCTGAAGATTTTGTCAATGGTAGTGCAATTGTACCTTGTGGTCTCATAGCTTGGAGTTTATTCAATGACACATACAGCTTCTCCATCAAAGGAACGAATTTGACAGTGAACAAGAGTGGTATCTCTTGGAAGAGTGATAGAGAACACAAATTTGGAAAAGATGTTCTCCCCCAAAACTTTCAAAACAGTTCTATAATAGGTGGTGGCCATCTTGATGAATCCATACCGGTAAGCACCTATATGATATCTTGTTTTGATGAATTATTTCTAATACCATAGCTGTGTGATTAGTATTTTTGATTAGTTCAGTCTTAGTTAAGTCTTTGATTATCCATTCACATGCTCTTTTGTAAAGAAAAATTAGCCTTTTGTTTACCTATTGTTGTTGTCAGTAATGTTTTAACTACTTTTATCGGTATTAGTATTCATATTTACATATAGAAATGACTTTTCAATTGAAAAATTAATCATATTCTCACTTCTGGAATATTTTATTGAACAGTTGAGTGAGCAGGAGGATCTTATTGTCTGGATGAGAACCGCTGCCCTGCCAACTTTTAGGAAATTATATGGAAGAATAGAGGTGGATCTGGAAGCTGGTGTTCTCATAAATGTAACGCTTAAAAATCAGTACAACACATACAGTTTTAACGGCAAGAAAAAGCTCGTGCTGTCAACTACTAGCTGGCTTGGTGGGAAGAATGACTTCATTGGCATTGCTTATCTCACCGTTGGAGGACTTTGCTTCTTTTTGGCATTGTTTTTTACCGTTGTAGTTTTTGTGAAGCCAAGGTACAAATCCTCTATTGCATTAGACCATAAAACTTCATTCTGTTATGCAAATTTTTCTGTCTATTTAAAATTCATTTATATCTTTGTAGGCAACTTGGAAATCCATCGGATCTGTCATGGAATAGGAAGCAAGGTCGAGCCACCTCCTAAAGCAGTTATAAATAAACAATAAGTAGTAGTCTATTCCAAGATGGCCAATGGCCAAAAGTTGGTATTGTAGAGAAGATTACAACATTAGTATTAAGTAGTACTGTGTTCAAATTGTAAGGGTTTTACAGTCAATGATAACCGGTCACGATTCTTCACATTACTCTAAATCTCTTCTACTCTTCATTTGCCAAGGTGATAGAAATTTTGATCATCCTCCTAATTGCAATTTTTGGTAACATAGATAAGCAGGTTAAAATCAATGCATACTGGTCTGAATGAATCTGAATAATGTGTAAAACCAATTTTGATCAGAAAAAGAATGAATCTTGAAATTCATAGAGGGGGATAGAAACACAACTTACTTTCATGGGATGATGGTTAGAATTTTTATGATAAAGGAAGGTGAGATAACTCTTTCGGAGTGTGGTCTCATTCAACAACACATCCTTACCTACTTCACTAACATATTTTGCACAGCAAACAATTGTATTTTAAACAAACTTACTCAAGAATCTATGGTAGTGACTTTGGAGGAAATGTAGATATTTGGGTACCACCATCACATAAGGAAATTAGGTAGGACCAGACGTTTTAGTGGCTACTTATATCAAACTTCTTAGGATATTATAGGATTCAACATGACCAATGCAGTCCAACACTTGTTCATAAAAGGCACGGTTCTGAAAAATCTTAATGATAATAATCTCATCATTATGACTCCTAAGGTTCAAGGTACAAAAAAATGACAAACTATAGACGGATTGCCATTGCATTATCACCAAGATATGAATGTGATTGACAAAAAGTCTCGGAGAGGAAATATGCTTATGAAGGTTGATATTAAAAAAACATTTGACACTTGGATTGGAATTTCTTATTGGAAGTTCTCGAGGCCTTTGGTTTCAACGATAACTTATGTGGATGGATTAGGGAGATTTTACATCACCTGAGGCTTTAGATTCTAGTCAACACAAAGTGATGTGGTTATTTCCAATGCACAAGAGGGGAGAGACAAGAGAATCCTCTTTCATCTCTTTTATTTTGCTAGTCTAGATCATCAATGCTTCATTTGTGAGAATGTCAAGCCTATGAAGCCAACAAGGGATATACTAAAATCCCCCACACATTGTTGGGTTATTCAGGGGTCAAAACAAGGGAGTATTTTAACTTGGCCAAATATAGTTTGACAATTTAATTCCTCCATCTTCTTCATTTACAATTTGGAGATTCTTCAACAGACTACCTTGTGATGGTAACCCTAAGAATAGGTGTTACACTATTTTCATTATGTGGCCTATGTAACACAGAGAGAGATGTCTATCCATATTTTATCTTCTTCATTTACAATTTGGAGACTCTTCCACAACAAACTATCTTGTGATGGTAACCCTAGGAATAGGTGTTACACTAGATATATCCATATTTTATTTCAGTGTTGTACTTGTTAAAAGTGTAATATGTGACAACTCCTAGTTATTAAGGAATAATAGAGCTTTCTAGAGTTTGTTACGAGGTTTAGATCTAGCTCACACATGGAAGTAAGAAGCTTTGTATGTGTTACCTAGCTGATGATTGGGTCCCTCTCAACCTTATGGTTGAGTTATTTATAGAAATCTCTGGGTCTGAACTTCAGACTTTCAGGAAGTAGCAACCACTTCTAGGAACATTGGAAATGGATCGTTGATCCCCTATTATTCAAGAGAACATGATTAATTTCTTTGGATCCTTCTTCTCTCCGTTATGGACTGTGACACATCACTTCTCATGTTCCCGTACAACAGGTAAGTCATCTAGGGAGCGGGCGACATATTTGAGAAATGGACGTCACATCTAAATGATGGGCACTCGATCCACTAAACATTATATTAGAAATATGTTGTGGGTAAATTGTGATGTTGTTCACCTTCCACGCTGCTCCTTATAGGCCCTTTGGAAGTATACATATTTATAGTCCCTCAAGCACGAGAGCTGGAAAAGACGAAGTGATTTATCCTGACTTTCCTCTCCTAATCTGGATGAGTCCTAAGGTATAGCTAGGGAGAGTCACTCATGTATGAGGTGAGTGTATCAAGCCTGGGGCGGGTCACTTAAGCCTGAGGCGATTACCTTAAGCCTAGGATGATTCCCTCATGCATGATCTGGGATACATTTCCAGGTGTTAACAAGTTGAATCATCATATGTGATCGGTAAAATAACAAGTGTATTATTTTGCCTCTGTAGTGATAATGAGGAAATTCCTCGAATGTCGATCACAAGGACTGCATATCAATATGGAGTTCGAATTATCGTTCAATTAAACAAAAACTAACATTTGGATTTGATTTTCTAATTTAGAAAAATAATTACGAATAAAGTAAACAAATGTTTTGAACAATTTTGACATATATGAGTAACATGCTAGGAAAGGTGTGTGATTCATTTCTGTAACAAATTTTGAATTAACATTGCAACAACATATTTTAAACAATCAATTACTGGTTTTTAAGGGTGTTTACTCCTAAGTCCTTAGTGAGAAAACCTTTAACCTTTCATCCTAAGCCCTATGTCCATAGAAAGTTGCCGATGAAATTAAGCAAGATTAAATCAAGAATAATCTGATTACTATAGGGTATCCCTAGCCCTATGTGATATCTACTATAGAATATTCTTATGAAAGCATTACCAACGACGATCCAACCTAATTGATAATTATACATCAATCTCAATTTGTCCGGAAGAGAAAGCATTAAAAACATCAAGAGAATAAATTAATTATGAAAAACAACATTGTTATTGCAATTAGAAACTCAATGTCATTACAAATTCGAATCAGGCGCGTCCCCTAGCTTTGGGGGGTTTATCTACTCATAAAAATCAATAAAAACAAAATACAAAGTTTAGAAATTACAGGTACTGAGATGGAATTGAATCTTCAATCGCTTCCGTTCATGAAAATCTGCCTCCAACTAAAGTCTATGTGTTCTCTAATCTTCAACCTGTTTATTTTTGCCCTCTAGCCCATAAAGTATTGCCAAAAAAGTCCCGTGTAATTGTGTTAAAAATTTTCTTAAATAGGAAAAGTCTTCTCCTTTCAAATCCCCGTAGTCAAATCATTTTCAATTGGAAAATCAAATAAGATCTCAAACAAAATCCTAACGAAAAAGGAAATATTTAAGAATCAGCGTGCACGTTGTTACGGCTAGTAGCACCTACTACGACCTCCTGTAGTAGACCACATATTCGAAAATTCATTTTTATGAAACAAGGCACGTTTGCTACGACCAGTAGCACGTGCTACTGGTGGCCGTAGAAGACCATTGTTGAAATTATGGTATACAGATAACAATGTCCTATCATATGTCGAGACAAAGATCTCTATGTAACAACACCTAGAGTGGATAAAATACACTGATATAATACTTATCAGAACAACATCATGGCATATGTCCCAACATCTTATACAACATGTCAATAAATAAGAAAAAAAATTAAACTATGTAGAATGGTATTAACACAAAGATATGATGACCCAGTTTGGTGTACAATAACACTTACTCTGGAGGATACCAAGCCAAGAAGAAGATCCACTATCAGTAGTATTATTTTATGTAAATAACCTTAGGTTTATAGGTAAACAACCCCCATTTTACCTAATCACTATCCAATGCAATCTTTATCTCAGAACCCAATCTAAGATAAGAGAAACCCATCTCACTCCCTAAATCACCTCATTGATATCTAACAATCACAACCTCTGGTGACTGCATCAAACAACTTGAAAGACACCTCTTCTAATATAAAGTTCAGCCAAGACTTTTGACTAACAAACATACTTGGATTTGCTTCAAAGCCTCATCCAAGAACAATATATAATTCATTACCTAAAGGCTTATGAATCTATATAAAAACAATGTCTACCACAATGTATCAAATTGATACAAAGGGTAACTTACAACATAAGAAAGTACACGATTCTCAAAACTCTAAACCATTATTTTTACTTTACAAAAGTTTCACACGAGGATTAGTTGAGATGCTCTAGGATTAAATCTTCCTTATATAATCTTTAGATGTCCATGGGATTCAAATCTTATATTAAAATATTCATTGATCCACTGCTAAAGTGTTCCTTAAATCTTGGAACTGATTTACCAAAATCCTGCTGTAGCAGTCCAAGATGTCGAATCTTCACGGTAGGACATTTGTTCGACATGTTGTTCTTCACATATTTTAACTTCTTATTCAACATCTTGTTTTACTAAAATTAGTCAAATATTTAGAGCTTTTAATCTCCTCTTTTAGAAAATTTTGGCTAAAACTCCTTTTGCACAATAAATCCAGGAACAAAAGTACTAAAGTCATTTCAGCGGGAAGCTTTTATTCTTCTAGTACATGAGGAAGAAGATAACCAGAACTCACATTTGATTATCCGATTACTCCCCATTAACCCAGGAACCGATTCTTGTCACGAATGGATAAATCTTCCTCTCTGGGGGCATACGAGAATCCTTAATAAGAAACAATAACTTCACCCTATGCAACCAAACACCAACCTAGATAACTCAGAACACACGACATAACTGTGTTCATAACTCAGATCACAAGACACAAATAGAAACGTAGACATGACCTGAACATGATGATGACTCATACATGATGTTGGGATATCATGTTAAACATCCTTGCAAAATAACTGCAAGTACAAACACAATATTCAAATGGTGACCAATATCTTTCTCCCCCTTTTTAGCCAAAAAATGACAAAGATATTCCCCACAAAACCATACCCAGACTGTACTCACCCAAACCCGAACAAAATCTATAAGAGCTTTGATGAAGACAACCTAACACAAGATGAATGAAATGGAAGAGACGACTCCTTTAAATACTCAAGTTGTTACTTAGGAATTAATGACTCTTGATTGTAGAAATGGTATTGGTTAATGAGAGCGTTATTTGTGGAATATAATTGCACCAAAAATTAAGTGTGCACCGTCCACAAAGCATTCTTCATGCCATA